TCTCTTCACAACTCTGGGTTGCCCTCTGTCACCCTGCACAAAGGTGGCAAAGTGAGCTCTGATTATGGGAGCACAGCTGACTGGCATAATTCATTTAGATTTGCAAAAGGTCTCCGACAAGGGTACATGCAAGGAACCTGTGAAGAAGCCAAGAAGATACTAGGGGAGAAAGCAAATTCTTGTCAGGAACGAAAAAATGGTTGGCACAAGAAAACAAAGTGCAAGATTAAATTGATTTTTTTTTTTTTTAATGACTAACAGTTACCAGAAGGATGCTCCCACGTCCTGTACTCAGTCCAAGGAAAGGTGAAGACTGATGTACCTAAATCTGCAGCTACTAATATGTAATTGGGAAAAGGGAAATCTGTGAGCACTTACAGAGTGTCTTCAGTTACATGAATGAACAGTACAATAGAGGGAAAGAAAAAAAAATCTGAAACAAGTGCAAAAACCACATGCTAGGGATATTTTAAAGAAGCCAAACACCCTTCAAGGCTGATAAAGCCCTGTGTTCAGTATATGGCAGTGGCCAAAAAAAAAAAATTAGCATGCTGGATTCTACAGAAAATAGGTCTGGGAGTATTATCAAAAACATGTATACTGTCATCAAAGGTATAACCTTGTGTAGAATACTGCAGGCAGCCTAAGTCACCTTTGCTGAAAAAAAAAAATTGAGTATCATGGGACTAAATAGACTTGGGAGAGAACGAAGACAATGATGAAAAGCTGTGCATATTCTCACAGGAGAAAAGAGAATTTTTGACTTTTCTTAATCTCAGAAAGCAGACGTGATGAAAGTAGATAACATAATGAATGGTCTAGAGAAGGTAAAAATGGGGACTACCGTTTTCACTATCTCAAAGCACAAGATGATATTTAATGGAGGAAAAAAACACAAACAAAAAAAAACCCACAGTTTTCCTGCAATGCACAGTTCAACATGGAGCTCTGATACAACGTTCAATTACCAAGTCTAAATGTTATGAAATATTAAATATTTATGAGTATAAAGACCATTCAGCTATCTCAAAAACAAACTGTTAAGTTATATTAAACTACTGCTTCAGGGTTTGTATCTAACTAT